CCGTTGGGGGGCAGAACATGGATCGCCGGCCGGTAGGTCACCGGGTCGAACGGGCGCTCGCGCAAAGGTAGAAGCTCGACCCCGGGATCCATCTCGTGATCCGGGGGAGTCCCGCCGCGTGGAATGTCGTCCGCCATGTCAGGAATGATGAGAAAATAGCCGGAGGAAGGAAAACCGGGCTAGAATACGAAGAGTCAACCGAAAAGTCAACTCCCGAGAAGGTCGAAAATGGCCAGGAAGGTCAGAATGTGAAAAGGCACGGAAATCAAGAGGAAAACAAGGGGAACAAACCCCAAAAAGGCGGGAACGCCAAACGAGGCACCGAAACAAAGTTTTGTTCGGTTGAAAATGTCCGAAACGTGAAGGAAATCGCGAATCCGATGACGAAACGGGCGTAGAACGCGAAGAAACGGGCAAAAGAGGAGAGAAAAACACTCTAGAGAGAGAGGGTTTGGGTTTTCGGCGGTGGAGGAAATGAAAAATAGGGTTTGGAAGCCCTATTTTAAAACACCCGAAGTGAAATGTCGAATCTGCCCCGACTCAGCAACTTTTTGCCGGTCGACAATGTTTTGTGCCGGCCGGCAGTATATTGTGCCGATGGAGTTATTTTTCAGCCGGTGGCCTCCCATTCCGGCCGGTGGTGTTCCCACAGCCTTGTTTAGGCCATATGAGTAGTTTCTGGTCTTCATAGCTCAAGAAAGTGCATCTCCGACGCTCAACCGACCTCCGTTGTGACCTCGGGTCGTGTCTTCTGCGCGTGGCGCTCGAATTTGTGCAAGGTGTATCCCTTTTGTTTCCTTTTAAATTCAGAAGTTGCCCCATGTGCGTTACACGCGTTCATTGCACTATTTCGGTGCATTACATCGCGCTGTCATGCGCCTCACAGTTGCATTGTTATGCACATACTACATGCGTTGTAACACGCACCCCTTGCATTGTCATGCACATCTCTCATGCATTGTCATTGCATTTTTATTCCATGCATTGTCATGCATTCCGAAACATGTGCGTTGTTACGCATTTAAGTCCGTTTACATTCCGTGTGGCACACGTGTCACATTTGGCATCATTTTACATTCCGTGTGGCACGCGTGTCACACTTGGCATCATTTTACATTTCGGGTGGCATGCGTGTCACACTTAGCATCCATTTACATTCCGTGTGACATACGTGTCGCACTGAGCATCATTTTGCATCTTGTGAGGCATGCGTGTCTCATTTATATCATTTGGCATCCTATGGGGCATGCGTGTTTCATTTTGTGTCATTTTCATCGGCCTGTGCGCCTCGTTTGCATAGAACATGCATTCACTCGCACTATCTTGTGCATTTACACTTTGTATCTCAATCGCACTGTTTTGTGCATTGCA